TGTGGGTTTAATTGGAATTTGGAGATTTACATTTTTGGAAAAAGAATCACAATTTCCATTAAGTAACGTCGATTTGATTGAGAGTGGGGACAGTGAGTAGACGTGCGAATTATTCCAATTTAATTTTCTACAACTAAAAATCAGAATCCAAACCATTCGAAAATTTAAAATCTCCACGGAGAGATTTTCTCTTAAAATTTGACCCTGAAAATTATGTAATCGTGGGACAATATGGCATTTTAAAAGACTTTATCTGGGTTTTCTGTAATTACCATACATGCTACTAATAAAATGTCTCATAAGATTTTCCATAATGCTATATTGTCCCACAATTACACGATCTTCAAGGTAAACTCTAGGAAAAAATTCTCTCCGTGTAAAAGCGAGGATTAAGATTATCTTTCAATTACAATCCAAATATTAATCGGGATAATATGACAATCTAAAAATAAATACAGGTAGCCGTGAACTGGCAGTGCCTTGGACGCGTTTCGATCGAAAAGTTACTGACCTTCGCCAAATATTTTATTCTAACAGAATTGACAATGTAAATGAGATGGCGTCACCACGCGGTATTTGTGCAACTCGTCTTTACGCATCGCGAAGTCACCGTTTACGGATACTGTTACGTGAATTCAGCTAGCATGTCAATTAATCGATGATTTACTAGGAGAGATAACATCGCGGCCACCGCGCCCTCCGCTACATAATTTGAATACTCGTCAGCACGTGGTCGGCTGCTATTTCCATAAGCGAGGCGTCTTCTTGCCGAAAAGAAAAAAAAAAAGAAACCACGAGTAACGCGGAAAGGTCGAATCTGAAATGACTAGTTCAATCGATTTCTTCGCGGCTCGCGACAGTCCCGCTTCTCGATCTCTCTGCTCTCAGGCGCGCGGATCAGAATTGTTCGCGCGCGAGAAAAAGGCCGGCGTTCGCCGGCGCAATTAATCGTCAATTCCGTAATCTACAGCGGCGGGATTTAGGACAGCCGGGGAAACCGACGCGTCCGCGAACGCGGCGGCCGAGACTCGATCGCGGCGATCGATTGCGCGCGGATCCCGCGCGAGATCGAAATTTCTTCTTTCTCATTATCTCGCATCTCGACGTGGCGCGATCTCTCGCGCGCGGCGGCGGCGGATACGCGTCTCTCTTGCGAGACGAGACGGCTTCCCCCGGGTCTCCCCTCGTCCCCGGTCGCCCGCCGTCTCGTTAACCGATGGGAACAGATTTCTGATTGCGTCCCCTTCCCGTCGCCGAACGCCCGCCGGCGGCCGCGGCGTACACGGCTGCAACCGAGCACCTCCGGGTGGATTTCGCAAAGGGACCATTTCCAACGCCGAGAACCGCGCCGCGTTAACCGAAATGCAGCAACAATGCCGTTAAAGCGTTCTCCTCTAACCGGGTCCACGTCGCGATGGATCCGATCCGGGCAGATACGCGCGGCGAGCGGATCACGACCGCCGCGGTGCGATGGTCACTTTCGGATTTCGCAAAATCGTAACCGCTTTCGTCGATCCTGTCGCCCGAGAAACGCCCGCGAGGAGTCTCACTCGATTACGTTGATCGGGACCGCGCGGCCCGCGATTCTCTGGGAAACGCGCGGGCGAAGATGCGGCCCGGGATAAGCCTTCACCGCGAGAGTATCTCCGGCGATACTCTCGGTAGCCGGCACTTGTAATGTTGTTACGTAAACCAAATCGACAGGCATAAGCGGATTTGCTAGCAGCCAGCGCGCTAATCGGCTGCTTCAGGCAGCCGTTTTACTACTCGAGAGCCTCCTAATTGTTTTGTCAATTTGTAACCGCTTATCGCGTAATAAACTTTATATCTGTACATAAACAAATAATTGCTGAGCAATCGAGGCCGTAAATCAACCACCGGACCGACACGCACGATTGTTTAGTGTAATTTCGCAGCTGCCGTTGTCTCGCGAGCCCGAAGCTTCGTGTCCCTTGCAGCTACGAATCAGCCAGCAGCCGATCAATTTCCCCACTCGATCGATACTTTTTGATTGACATTTCGCCTCAATAAAGCCGAGCCGGCCGGCTCCCGGTGACAAAATTTTCCCCGAATACACCACGAGTTTCCTGACAGACTCGCCAGGGTTTCGCAAGGTTTTTCGACGAAATGTTCGCCGGCGCGGTTTCCATCCAAGCTCGGCCACTGCCGCGGCGAGGTTTCGCAAATCGGTCGTTTCGCATGCGAAACCGACCTACCGTGCTACCGGATTGCAAAAGCCCCCGGCCTCCCTCCCGGACCGAAGGAGACGAGCGTGCAGAACCGCCCGCGGGAGATTCCTGCATTTGGGAATGTTAGATCGTGGGCCGCGGGAAACGTCGCTTCCCGGGGAAGAGGAGTCTCTCGCGGGATAATTACGTATTATGTAAACGCGCGTTTAATTGCTCACACGACACATAAACGAAGCGGCACACGCACGAGGCTCGTCCCGCAGACTCGGGATATCGCAAATCTCATAAACGAGATAATTACAATGATTTGCTCGTACTACTTTTTCCCCAATCGCCGCAACGTGAGTTCGAGAGCGCGTTTATTAGTACCTCGATTAACTGATATCCCACTCGAGAAATGTCGCCTCTCTGTGCACAGAGATCCGTTTGGTTACATTTGTCTTAAGCGACAAAAATATTTATTGGAAAAAGTATTTTTTATAAACGTAATAAAACCATTAAAGATTTAAAAATTCAAAACAAAAGAGATAAGATGCTGGAGGAAACGACGATAAATGCACACTGGGAATCACTGATGTCTTCCCACGTGAATTTGTATATTTTACATAACACACGCGGAGAGAATTTTCTCTTAAAATTCATCCTAAAAATCACGTGGGTCAACATGGCATTTTGAAGAACTTTATGAGAATCTTTTGAAATCTTACCATACATTTTACTAGTAAAATGTATAATTACTAGTGAAATGTATGGTAAAATTTCAAAAGACTCGAATAAAATTTATCGAAACTAGAGACGTTATCGATTATTCGATGTCTCCTTCAACCTCGATATGAAAATATCGAATTGAAAAACCACGAATTAAATATCGCACGAATGCTTTTGAACAACTTAAGTAAAAATGAATATTCTTAAAAAGCGATCGGTAAGTTTAATTGTGCAGAGAAACTTGCACATTTGTATATACAATAAGGAAATCGTCCAATCGCGACGCGGTTCGGGATGGCTTTATGCGATTGGCTGTGTTTGATATCCCTGTTTATCGTTGCGACCTATAAACGTGCCACTCATCTGCACCTATCTGCACTAAAATAGAACCTCGCGCCATTGGTACTTCGAAACCGAATAGACCTATTGGCTGATTTGCTAGACCTCTCTACTTGATGTGCATATCAAATGATCTTTCCTACACTTTTCATTATAAAAAAAGGAAAAGGAACCACCCTTACGTGTTAACACTCAAAACTTGAGTGTTTTTTTTCCATAAGAGCATAACAAAAGTTTTTATAAAAAATGTCGCTTATTCGATATATGTGACTGTTCATTCGATGTTAGCTACGGTACTTTCTAAGTTGGCGAATATATTCATATTCGATAGTTTTTCTCGATTTCGACATGTCTAACCGAAACGCCACGTTGTGCCACGATTTTCAGGATAAGTTTTAAGAGAACATTCTCTCCGTGCAGACAATCGCTCAAATTCTCGTTACGCAGTCGATGCGCGACTGTTCAAAATTGAAATGAAATTCATTAATTTCACGCCAATACCTCGATTTCACGTAGAGATTTATCCCAAGTCGAGTTTTGCCCCAAGTGACGAAACCGCGCGACGTTTATTAGCACGGCCCGAGAGACACGCGTTCGTGACGGCACGTACGCGTAAAGAAAAGTGCGCTCGTGCGTCTCGGCCGGCATTCCTGTCAACCGAGGCGCGATGGGAAGCGATCGCGCTTTTCGAGAATACAGCGCGCTACCCTCGGGCGCACCCCGGGGGATCGGCGGGCGCGCGTTAGCTCGCGATTTCCGCGTGTGCCAGTTATCCAACGGCGCGGACATTACGTAAACTGACATTTTCGCAGCTAATACGAGCGAGCGAGCATGCGATTCCAGCTAGCGGCTGCCACACGGAGCCCGAGCTCTACCGCCGCTAGCCTTTCCCGCGCGGCGGACTCTCTCGAAACAGAAGTGGAAAAAAAAAGAAAGAGGACTCCGAACTCGATAAATCGTCCTGTCGCGCGATCGGTTCTCCGTCCGGTCGATATCTGCGATACTTGGAATCTCGTTACGTTCGTTTAATTGAGGAGTTCGGTGGAGGAACGACCTGGGTCGACTTGCCCAGACGGCGCACAATAATCGGAAAATATTCATCAAATATTTGTAATGTTTTCATAAAAATTGCAGTATTCATTCGAAGTTTGGAAAATATATTTCCTGGCCAAACTATAAGATTCCAAGTGCACGTTTTATAAATATTGGTCTGTTGCATACAACTGTAAATCTGTTATGTCAGCTTTTGTAGTACGTGAAAAAATAACTTGATCGACTTAAGTCGCTCTTCCACCAAACCCCTCACGCTTTTAATACAGAATTCTTACGGTAGATTCTCCCTCGCGTAAGATTCACCTCGACGGATGTCGACGGGTGACTTCCGTGCGATCGTAGGTCGAGAACAAAACGAAGAACCGCGCTCAGCGTTACATTTGTAACATCGAAGATCGCGTAAGGGAAAGATCGACGCCCGTTTCCACCAACGCAGTTTAACTTTAATCTCTGTTTCAATTACTTCGAATCTCTTTCTCATTTGTAAAACTAGAAAAAGGTACGAGGCAAGTTGAACCGAGATGAAGGTTAAACTGCGTTGGCAGAAACGGGCATAAGCGACACTCACGTTTTTAATATCGAAGATTACGTTGAAAGAGGGGAACAAGAGGTGTGACACATTCAACCGCGGACGGTGAAATTGGTCGCCGCGAAGGGGAGGAGGAGGAGAAACGCGCGCGAAAGGTCGATTAATGAGCCGGACTCACTCACCCACTCTCGACACGACCGCCAGGATCAGCAGCACGCTGCTCACGATTATCATCTTCCCTCCGTTGGCCGCTGGCGCGGGAATCACGACGCGGTGCCGGTGTCCAAGGACGAAGGGGGCGATCTCGCGCGGCCGTTATCCTCTGCCTTTCCGCGCGCGGACCCTCACACACCCCGAGCGCGCCGAAGGGAGGGCGAGACCGGCGCGGGGATTCGAAACTCGCTCGTGCCCTCGGGATCCAACTGACCTCGCGGGGTCGACCGTCACTCCGGAAATCCCCGCGCGTTTTCCTCTTCCTCTCTTTACCCTCCGACGAGCGCGCCGGCGAGCGAGCCTACGGGAGCCGCGGGCAGCAGTGCAGGCGCTGTTGTTCAGAGCCGCGAGTGCGCCATGGACGTCGGCAGAGCGTGTGCTACGGTCACGAGGAGAGAAAGGTGACTGCGGGTATGTACGCGAGGCGTGCACGATACCGCCTGTCTTCGTGGCATAGTCACCTTTCTAGCGGAGCGGCCAACAAAGAAGGGAGCCTTGGTGCTGTATACCCACCACCGCGCGCGCATTGCCCACCACCTCGGTGGACGTTCGCGATCACCGGGTTGATGGGGAGGGGGGGGCGAGGGGGGAGGGTGGTGGACGCCGGCCGCTCGAAATTCGCGTCGCCCCGAGCTTTTCTCACCGTCATTGTTAACGCGGCCTCTCACCGCGTCTCGCAGTTTCTCTACTCTGCCCTAAGGTGGGAGGCGAGGGTTGCGCGACGAGGGGGATGACACGCTTGGCGAGGTGAAATTCCCGTGGGATTCTCGCGCGAGTGAGTCTTTCGGGAATGGCATCCTCCCTCGTGGAAGAAACCCGCGGATTAATGACAATCGTAATTAAAATTAATTGACGATTGTGATCAATGTAAAGCCCGAAGCTTCAATTACGACGTTACAATGATGAAATAATTGCAGTACGAAATATTATAGTTACTTCGTTGCGGCGTAAATAAAAGTTAGTACTATTTTTTATTTCCGCGTCTCGAGAGATAAATCGAATTTATAAAGTAGTAAATTTCAGATCTATACAATCGCAGGATCTACTTACTATCGAACGGCAATAGAAATAATGTTACTGCCAGAGCGGCATTTTGTACAAAACAGTTTATTTTTTTTCCCCATATAAAATGACTAACGCTATATCTTATTACCTTACATTATTTCTTTTTCCGCAATACGATTACATGGAAAATGTTTAACAGATCGGAATCATCGCTTCGTATCGGAATTAGAATCAAAATATCTACGGCCACTGCGTAGAACTTGTTCTCTTTGTACGAAGATTATGTTTGCTTCCAGTGGCCGGCAACGATCGGAACATATTTGATTAGGATTGTTCGCCGAGCAATCGAAAAGATAGTGATTATCCTACCAGTTTCTATATACACCCAGATACTAATTTACATTGATCAATCGACGCAACTCAAGGACGATCGCAAAGTAGACGTATGACCGCCGGAAATTAATGGCAATACGAAATCCCGGAACGAGAGCTTCAGTTGACCCGCGGCCGCTTTTGATTCTAACGCATACGCGCGCCTCCTCAAGTTGCAGAAATATTAATATGCATAAAAATGATAGCGCTTCCTCGACACTCCTCTCGAGTAATTACGGAACGTACAGTAGAGAAAAGAACATATCACATGTACAAATAGCTTTCCGTCTTTGAGACGCATGCAGATGCCACATTATTGCGCAATCCATCTAACCGAGGGATTACAATGTCATTTCTCTCATCGTGTAACAACGTATATCGGTGTAAACGACTAGATATTGTTGCGACGCCTTGACAAAGAAAATTTCTCTCTCGTTTTCCTTCTTTCCAAGCATGCTCCTGAGAACTCGGCAGTATATTCGAATATGCTGGATAATATTGGACGCGCGAAACCAATGCGATCGGTAGAAGGGGATTACAGAGTTAACGATGCATACGCACACAGTATGCACACAAATTGTGTACGATTAGATAAATTGACAGAGTCTCGTCGGACATGAAAATTTTAATCAACTTCAAGTATACGAAGTATATATTTTAAAACGGGGAGAAGGGGGGAAAGGACGGGGGGAGGGAGGGTTAGTAAGGCGACGCTTAAAATCATACCACATTAAAATTATTGGATACTAAGAATGATCGATATCAATGATCGCATTAAACCCTAACATCTTTACAATTGTTTTAAATATAAACAGATCTTGCTTGCACCTCGCCCCGCAATACAAACGTCGACTTTCGCGTCATTATCAAAGCACTTGACGAAGTCTGCTAAAACTTTACGGATTTCTTACGTATCCCGAAATCTAAGAGGAATTACGTGAAATACATTTATTCAAATAGAAAAAACATTCGCAAATCTTTATGATTAAAAATATCGTTATACATACAAAACGCGATATCTTTCTGCTCCCTCTTTGTCTGCCCTCTTTATCTGCAGAATAATCGTCACAAAAAGATTTGATTTTTCCTTCTCCCTTTTTACTAAACCGCACAAACGATTTCAATGGCCAGTACGTGAAAAATCCAAATGTCTTTCTTAAACAACTTGGGTTCTTTTTTCATTAATAATTACGAAACGATTTGTATGTACATCAATTAAATGCTGACGCAGCGACAGCTGCGCGAGACATCGTCAAATAGAAACGGCGTCGTTACGATTCTACAATTTGTACAAAATTACTCGCAAATAAATCGCAGGGCTATCCTGCGCCATGCGTCCTTGCTGAATAACGGACTTTGATTTGCTGCCCGACAACACCGATAGTCTAATATGGCGTAGCACGCAAACGCGCAAATGTCCCCCGTACATCTGTGCATGCACACTCGTACGGCAAGCAACGGTAGATCTGTTTTTTAGCTATACTTATACTTATTGCACTCGCCCACAATTCCCCGACAAACCTTTTTGTCGAAAACTCCGCACGTATATGTATCTCTCTTACGATCCTATTTTCACCGTCAAGTGCAAAAAAGATAAGTGCGCTAAAAGGAATAGATCTAATAGCGTACGCGGAGTTTTCGCGTCATCCGGCGCGCTTGAAGAATTAAATAGTCACGCGTAATCGAGCAATGTGTACAATTCTAATTACTAACTAGTTCAATTTGCCTATACTTCTTGCGCAAATTGCTCACGGGATCTTTGAACAGAACGGGGTCCAGCCGCATGTTAGATCGCAGCAGTGGCATATACCCGAAGACAGCGACAAATGTATTCATGCAGGTTTGCCGCTGTATAAAATGATCCGGGTCGTTCCACGGCGATCTAAAATCCAACGTCAGCGATGCAATAAACGATAAACATACGTGTGAGCTCAACGAGAGCACATACCGGCGATACCTACCTAATCCCAGCTACCGCGGTATCTTTGTACAGCTTGCGCTGCGTCACTTTGATAGGTGGCCTTCGAGTTACGTGACTCACCAGGAAATTCATGAGTATATCCTCGCAGTTCTGCGACTGCTCCACGGTCTTGTGGAGAGTCGAGCTCAATAACTCGGTATACAGAGTATTATAGTAGCGGTGATAAAAAGCGGCACCGGTGAGAATGATACTGTAGTCATTTGTCCACTTGCTGGTGTAACCCCAGGAACGCTGCGAACACAAAAAAAAGCAGATTGGCTCGATTACGAAACAGCCGCGGACTGGACGGAAGTCATTTAACGCGGGCGGCATAATGCCTACCTTTGAGTCATCCCAATAGTGAGACCTCGCTGGATACCCTACTATTCGATCGGGAAATGACCGCCAGACCGTAAAAGCGAAGTCAATCTCGTCGGTATTTAGAGTGGCGTCCTCGTCGAGCGACAATATGGCACTAGTTTTGATTAACGGATGAGGATAAAAACGTTGAGATATACCGTCAACCGCGACAACGTGGATTGACGCTCTGATGCCCTGCCAGCGTGGTTTCCTTGGCACCGGAATGTCCGAGTTCCACATAAGTATTATCTTGAAGAAGATAATGCGTTGCAACATGATGCGGATTTCGCAGAATTCACAGCAAGGGAGAAACAATGATAAACGAGCGATGAACGGACTCTTACCTTATCTAGGTACTTGCTTTTCGCGAGACTCCTAAGTAAACGATAAAGTACGGCGGTGGATCCCAATTGAGAATAAATTATGGCAGTGAAAGTGTTACCAGGATTGCTGTTCGAAAAGGGAAGTTCCTGCTGGCTGTCGGCAAACTGTGGCAAAATCGCTAGTGCTCCAGGACTGGTATTCCAGACGATTCGTTCCCGCGCGCCCTCCCACGGCAAACGCTCGCGAATATTCTAGATTAATAATTACGATCAACGAAAGACGAAAAATGGAGCTCTAACAAGTTGCAATCGACCATTACCTCGAACACGGTGAATACAATTTTTTCGATAGAAGAGAAATATCTCTCCCATAAAAATTGTGTTTGCTGTCGCAATTTAAGAATTTGTACATTGGACACAGATCGTAATATGTCTGGAATCTGCAAAGTTTCATGGAACTTTAGTCATCCGCTTTAAAATGTAGTAGACATTTCAATTAAAAATACACGTTTGCGTCTCGACTTACTTGGAGTAATAGTCTCTCGTCGGAAAATATTACAGCTTGAGTCCAATCGATACGCTCGTGAAAGGGAAGAGCCCAACCGTTGCTCAAAATAACTGGGATGCATCCTGACCTCAGGGCTTCCAGAAATCGAAAGCTACCTAATCGCCGTCCTCGCGGAACCAGACAAAATGTAGCATTCATTAATAGAATTTCATAGTCGTATCTGCAAAATGAGAAAGGTGAGCGATTGTACTTGGACGTCCGTGTGCGATTCAAACGATCCCGGCATCGTTGCCACTTACGTATCGTACTCCTGATTATCTTGCTGACAGTGTTCGTCCTGCAATTCCCTCCAGGCCTTCCCGTGACGGCAGGTCGTAACGAATACCAAATCTTTACCATTGTGCAGATGATAGAGAGCATTTCTGGTCTCGGATCCAATGCCGTGTACGTAACGCTTCCCCTTGAAAGCCGCCACGTACTTTTTGTTATTGGGAAAATTGTTCTCCAACGCCTGGCCGGGCTCTCCGCCGCGTTCCGGATGTTGTTTGCCAAAGAGAGGTATCGACACGTCGAAGTCGCGTCTGTGTTTAAAGATGGACATGCTGGCCTTGGCGAGTATGGCGTAACCCACGTCGAAGGCAAGCGACTCTTCCACATAATCGGGCCACGTACCAGAATATAAGTTAAATATCAGATGATTCCTTCCGTTATTCCAATATGGCAGGTGTAACAGTTTCGAGGGAAGATTGTGTACAAATTCAGTGGACAAGGGATCTCTATCTAACGTATCCAGGGCTAAGACAAATATACATGCCCGTGCTGGGTCCGACGTGTAATATCTCGACTCGGTGATAACGTTTAATATTTTTTGGTATAGTGGACTTATCACATCCTCGACTGGGTAGACGTACACGGTGAAACCTTGCTTGCACCTGGTGAAGTCGAAGCAGGTCTCCATGCGGCAATGCCGTGTACGCTGAGACATAGCCAATGCCCCGCTGGATGTCTTTAAATCTTTGTCATAGAACTCTTCGTTTAGACTTAAATATGAAGGCAATCGCTCGTAAGGCAACTGAGATCTGCCTGTCCACTTTTCGCTTTTTAAACGGTATCCGCCGAAGTAGCAGTAACCAAGAAACGCGCATGTTACAAACAATAATAGATAGCGTTTCTTGGCTTGCATTGTCGATACAGTCAGGTTATACAAAGATATATGATAGTTCTAAGCATTATTTTCTCCCGATGTAAAAGGTCTGTGTTCAGTCACAAGCACATTTTGTTACTTCCGCTACGGCTCAGTAGCTCTTCCAGGATACAATCACTCCTGTTCTTTCGTACTGCTGCAACAAAGGTTCCACGTGTCAGGTACAAATCAAACCTTTCGCAAATAAGAAACATGAGTGCGCGTGAAAGAATAAATAAATGCGTAAGAAACTTCACAAAGATTCAACGGAAGGCCCTGCACGTCTAACACTCGTTATCTCAGTGACGAGGCATCTCGCACACAACTGCGGCAGCGCAGCTGTTATCACACATTCCCTGCGTTCCGACCGAAGTGAGGGGAAACTGACTTTATAACGGCACTCGAGGGGAAAAGCCATTACCTCCGAACCGCGACAGAAGGTAGCTATTGACGGTGAGGGTTCAGGCTGCTCGATCCCCGCGAGATGCATGACGGATCGGCGGAACGACACATAGACGCGCGACGACGACGAATCGTCACCCTCCGGGCGAGCCAGGGATAACCTATAAACCGCGCGAAGCGAGTCCCGCGCGATCGGCGATCCCGCCGAGCCGATAGTTCCACGTCGCTGTCGAACGGCACGCGCGACTCATGACGACACCCCCTCGCGCGACACGGACGGCTCTCTTACGACACGGTCGCGCACCGCCGACGCGACGACATCGCCATCCGTCCTTCTAGGTTATCTGCGGCGCACAGCAATCCCGTTGGGCCCGGCGGCGACCTTACGCCCACTCGCATCTCGACCCGCTGCCGGACGGACGCGCGTGGCATCGATCGGCGGACGCCCGCGAGTGCGAGATCATTGCACGCCGCGGCGCATCGGCGGTCCCAATCGCTACCCCCCGAAAAAAAAGCAAAAACGCGAACACGATGCCGTGACGTCGGGACGATTAGACTGGCACACCGCCTCACCTTACCGTCCTGCGCCTCACTTCACGCCTGCCCCGCGACCAGCGGCGGCAACCCGCAAACGGCGCGACGAACGTCACGGTGCACGACTGCTCCCTTGGAAAAAGAGAGACAATTTAAACTAATATAGCGAATTCGGTCGCTTGCACTAGTGCGCGCTGAGCGCACGCTAAGGCCCATTAACAAGATTCTTATTCGTTGGATCGGCCGTTGTTGAGATCCGAAAATCTGAGGACCCGTCAACTCGCGTACTCGCGTAAACTGCACACACGGGTCGGTCTCGCGCGCGCGGTTCTAGCTACGCTTATACTTGGCGCGAGACACTAACCGTGTCTCGCGATATTCAAGAATCGTCTTAAGTACCTCTTGAAATAATTTTTAACCGTGTAGCGTCCCTAGTAGCAGAGTGCATTGGCTAAACTTTGCTCCAATGTTGGTCATATTAGAAATGCATTGGCCGATATTGTTCAACGTAAAGCCAATATTGGCCGTGGAATAAATGTAAATATTGCACGATAATAATTACATAATGTTAGACTTATATTGGAAGTGCATTGGCCAATATTTAACAATGTAATAAAATTGATGCAATATTGGATTTATAAGTAACTGCAAAGTAACGATTCGTTATTTTTTAAATAGCTGCAACCAGTTAAATTTTTAGCGAAAAAAAACTGTAACTGTAATTTACAGAGTAACTTTCCCAACCCTGATTTATTTACAAAAAGCTACTCGAACCATCGCTGGAGCGTCGATTATTGCTACACGAGGAATCACTGATGCCTTCCTGTATGAAATTAGGCACAGGTAGAACACACATACATTTTCCATGCTCGGTCATGGTCAGAAATGTCTATGCCTCGGTGATCGAATTGGTTGAGACGCCCGCCTAGAGCGAAGGCAGGTCCAGGTTCAAACCCTGGCTGAGGTAATATTTTTCGCAATAAATTTTCTGTTTAAAAAACACATCGCCAGGCATGATCGATCAACTGCTTAATCATAATATTCGGAATATTCAATAGGTCATTCTTATACATTTGTCTTATGTTCGTGGAACACTTCGACTGGCACTACTACAAATCTTTTTCGAATGTGAATAAAATAATCGATCGAATATAGCGTGTCGGTTATATACGGTATGATCACTGGTTTCACTGCCTTTTGCATAAGACAAGTGTATCGCACAATAAACAATGTGCAATACATAAACTCGATGAATATTAAAAAGTTATTCTGAACGAATATTCCAAAGACACTCTCGGCGAATATTTTAAAAACGTTCTTCTTTGTTAGGAATATACGATTTCTAATTGTAATAATCTAATTGTAATATATTTATAGAATATTCGATTGGAATATACTGAAATTAAAAATATATGCACTCCAGAAGAACATTCGTAGAACACGTATATACACAAATTCGTGTGGGAGGACATCGGTGATTCCTAGTGTATATACATATGCACTTACCGTTGTAACGCGAAGTTAGATGCAATACCTTATTCATAATCAATTGTATGCAAATCGACACTCCAACAGGCTGGAACGGCCGAAGGTATATCTTTATCGATCGACTTCCAATTTCTCGCCAACTTTGAACTTTGTTGACTCGCGGTGCACGATACGCGGCTTGTGACGAGAGGGAATTTCCGCGAAGGCGCACGACACGCTTCTCCGAACCGGCATAGAACTCGCGCGAGCACTTACAAAGGAACTTATTTCGAATCTCGTCGACAATGCGCGGACTCGAACGCGCGACGTTAGCTGAGACAAAAGAGGAGATACAAACAACTGCAGGCATGTTATGCATTTAATGACGTCAATCACAATTACTGTTCCCCGCGTAATTTATTAATAATAACGGCAATGGAAATCAGCGTGCCGGAGTAACTGCAAAGAAACATCATCGCTTTCGTGTGTGGCTGGCGAGATAGAGAGAACGGATTATTCCCGCAGATATCCGCGCCGACTCCATGCACTACGGTGGTGAACGCCGTGACGCATAAGGCGGCCCGCGGAGGCGGATATGGACGATTTGCAATTTAATAACCATTTCTCGTTAGCGCGTTGGAGCGAATCGCGAGCGAGTCGGAGCGCGATTTCGGGCGCGCGGCGCCGATCGGCTTCCTGGAATCTCTCGGTCAGCTACTTACTCAGGAGGAGGACCTGCTCGGGAAGCCGATTGAGGGATCATCCCTTGCGCGGTGCCCGCCGCGTCCTCGTTCGCGTGGGCGATTTTAAGCGACGCGCGAACAAGCTAAATCGGACGAGACGGACGAGACTTTTCAAAACTGAAGAACGCTCTCCGCACGGCGTGAAAACAGATTTGAGTAGAACAGAAACACTCTCGGGAAACCGACGGCTCCGTTCGTGGAGCGTTTTCCGCCCCTTTCGGCGGTCTTTTTCTTTCTTTTTTTTCTTCGAGCTCTGGCCCGGAACGGCTCGTCTTCCCGATGCCGGTCGTGCCGCGCACTGAATCGCGCTCCTTGACGAGCGGACGCCGCCGCGGCGACGGAGTTATGAAATCCTTACCTTGACCAAACGACGCGCGAACGTCTCTCCTGCGCATATGTATATGCACACGGTATAATGCCGGTCGCTCAACGACTCCCCGAGGTGAACTTTTTCTCTCGTCGGCAGCGCGCGAGGAATTTGTACCCTGCCGTCGGACGCGCGCGGATGTTGATTTTCTCCGGGGGAAAAAAAAGCGCGGCTCTCGCCTCTCCGGATGATCGGCCGTGTCCTCCAGCCGGTCCCCTCCACGGATTCGGATTCGGGCGGGAAATAACGGCCGCTATTGATTTCGTTATCGGACGCTTAATTGCCGCGATAAAATTTCGCATCTGGATTCGCGCGCGCCGCGCTCCGCCCTTATGATTATCCAGCGCGCGTCAGCGTGCTATCATTCAGCCGGAGCAGTCACGCTGGAGAGTACTGGTCAAAAAAAAGAGCCGTTAGAAAAAAGTAATCGTCACCTGCTCAATTACGCAGCGATAACGATCGCGTGGAAAAAGTATTGCTCGTGCCAGAAGTCAAATACACGCGACCCCGCCGACTTCCGCGAATGTAAATTAACGCGGCGTCACTCGCCGGCGAGAGAGAGAGAGGGGGGGAGGGGGGGAGGAGAGGCGATTACGAAATCTTCGAAAAATGCTAATGCAAACATATCGCCGCAAATAAGTTCTTCCCGCTCGTCCGGACGCTTCGAGCGTTTTGGAACCACTTCTATATACTGCTAGACTGCTACCTTCGAGCTGAAAAGTGAGGCAAGAGTTTCCACTATGTCTAATTAGGTAAATGAAGTTGTAGATGAAAGTCCCCTATTATGAAATAGGATTCTAATACGAGATAGCAGGTTTTCAATGTCCAAAGTCAATCGCCAATCTTTTTTCGCAACGGTTGCACGATCTAACGATCAATTTTCCACTAAACGGATTTCACTCCAAGGGCAATAAACTCGCGGTGGAACAAACAGATCATATTAGGAGTCTGTCGCATAATAGGGGACTTTCCTCTATGTGTGATGCACGTATACTACTTTATACTACTTTGTTTTACCTCACAAGATATGGCGGAACTCTTGCCTCACTTTTCAGCTCGAAGGTAGCGGTCTAGTGCTGTACAGAAGTCTGTGGTTGGAACGTTCAACCTCAATTGCCGCTCAGATCCATCGAGCTGCGAGATTGTAATTCGACGACATTCAATCGATGCGCTCTCGAATCGTCCATCCGTCCACGCGAGATAATTCCCCGCGAGCATTCGAAGACGCCAGGAGTTTCTTAGAACTAGAAAAAGAAAGTATGCTAAAACGAGATTAAAGTTAATCCGCATTGATGGCAGACATTAGTCGTGCATTAAATTGGCCGGAATTTAGCCAAAGTCGCCGCGTATCGTGAAAATCTCCGGGAAACTCCGGAAGAAGCGTTCCTGGGCGAGCGAGTCTCGCCCTGTATCACTGTCTTGGCTCTTATATCCTTTGTTACTTCGTATTTGTGATTTTATTTCAATTACACTGATCTTGTTGATACGTCATTTTCTTTCCGTGTAGAAGCTCAATTGTGTATCTTACAAAATAGTAAAAATGCTCGTTTCTTTCTAAGGGGACAGCCGCTCACTTGCAGCACTTTCATTATGTTGTAAGATACACAATTGACTCTCAGATTCACAACTTGTCGCTGATAGGCCCGGTCTTTCATTTTCTGTTAACTGTTAACCAGAGGTCAGTCGACTCTCCATCTTTTTCTATATTATTATCTAAAATCACGGTCTTACGTACAGGCCTGGAAACTCCGGTGGTGGGGGTGTGCCAGTTTCCAAGCCAAAATTAGTTCGCGCTGTGTGTCGCTGCCATCGGCCAGCGTAAGGTAGCCTGTAAACTTTGTCTTGAAAGTTTATTACCCGTTTTGCAATTTAGGACTACGCAGGAATTCATCATTATAGACTATTCGGGACAATTCAAGTTGTAATGTACACTGAGCCATGCACTAGCGTTGAGTTTAACGGTTATGTTTTCACTCTTTTTTTTAGCACTTTGCGATAACAGCGACACGCTGGTGACAAGATCGTGCACTAAAAGTGGCTTAAAGTTTGGCATACCCCCCACCGCCAAAGTTTGCTTGAGTTTCCAGACTTGTATAGCGTGAGGCCGTGTCTGAGATGAAAAACTAGGCCATAAGTGCGCGAAGAACTCACTTCGAAGATAAAACAGGGATTGGCGTTACCGGCGAGTGCGCGAATTAGAGCGAAGCTCACGCGCTTCGCTCTCGCGCTGCTCGATGGCGACGCGATGATAAGGTCGGGCGGACAATACGAAACACGTCGACATCGATTTATCGTGTCCTTCGCCGGAGTAACCGTAATCGTAACGCGTTACAGTTACACGCGTACGCGAATAATAAAAGGAAAATAAACCAGAGCCACTGGCCGGCGCGCGCGCGGCGTGCAATCGCGAGCGATGAATCACGCCATCCCCCTTGTCGTAGGCTCGTGAGTCAGGGGGAAGTACAGTTCCAAGGTTGCGGGCGAGGGGGTAGCACTAGAACTCGGCGTCCCACATTCGACGGCGCTTCGTTATTCGCGGGGAACCGGCTATTTTTAAAGAGCCGAGGCACAGTCCCTTCCCACAGCACAGCGAATTCGCCAAGTATTCTTCAAGCTTTCTACCTTTCTGAATTGCAATTCTTTACGTCCGTTCTACGCCTAGGGACGACCCTACTTGTGGCTCGTCCGAGTGGAGATGTTCACACGGACATTTTAGTGTGACTATCATACTAATTGTAAGTATGGTTTTTGTATTATTTCACTATGATTTTTAACCGTCTTCTTGTGTAGAAGTGGCACCGAAGTCCATAAACGTCTCGATACGACGATCCATTTATTTACCCACTCGGATGAGCCACAAGTAGGATCATCCCTGGGTGTGGAACAGGCATTGGAAATTCCTAGAGGAATACAATGAGAATGATCGGGGAAGTTACATGCAGCATAAATGAACTTCTCAACAACGAATACTCCAAGACGAATTCACTGTGGCTGATATTCTTCAAGGATTCTTCAGCTATTCAATTTTCTAATTGCGAATTCGATTGCTTGCGCTAGTGTGCACCGAGTGCACACTAAAGCCTGTTTTATAGTCAATTTTTATGTTTAACTTTGTCTTAGATACACGTTCAAAAAATATTTAGCCTAAAAATGATCCGTACAGATGCTGTACAGATCATTTCACTGACTAAGAAATATCCCTAGTAGCATAGTGCATTGGCTAAACATTGGCTAAATATTGGTTATATTAAAAATGCATTGGACGACATTGTCCAACGTAAAGCTAATATTGGCCATGGAATAAATGTACATATTGCACGATAATAATTGTATAATATTAGATTTACATTGTAAATGCATTGGCCAATATTTAACAATGTAATAACGATATTAGTCTAATATTGACACAATATTATACCTATACTGTTAAATAGACATATATTGGCTAAATAAGAGAAGGCGTCCATCTTACAATATTGAACCAACATTGGGAATACTAGATTTACATTATTTCCCAATTTTGCGCCAATATATTGTGCTAGGGATCTCGAGAGACATTTAAGATGTAAAGATGTAGACAAGCCTAAAACCTAATCCACAAAGTGCTCTTTGCATCTAGAAACATTCTATTTTATATAAGCAAATCAAAACGCTTAAAAAATCAGTCGGCAATTTACGATTGTGCAATATATAATGTACAATTTACCAACCTGCACAAATTTTTGAACGTATTTATTGGCTACGAAATAGAATGTTTCTAGACGCAAAGACCCAGATAGCACACGCTGTTCTATGAATATCCTTCTGGGGTGCAAATATTCGTAATTTCAGAATATTCCAATCGAATATTCTATAAATACATATAGATTTTTACAATTAGAAATCGTATATTCCTAACAAAGAAGAACGTTTTTAGAATATTCGCCGAGAGTGTCTTTGGAACATTCGTTCAGAATAACTTTTTAATATTCATCGAGTTTATGTATTGCACATTGTTTATTGCGCGATACACTTATCTTATGCAAAAGGCAGTAAAACCTGTGATCGCACCATGTATAACCGGCACGCTATATTCGATAGATTATTCTATTCACATTCGAAAAAGATTTATAGTAGTCGAATGTTCTACGAACATGAGATAAATATATAAGAATGACCAAGGTTTGGAAGTAACTCGTTACTTGTAACGAGGTTACAGTTACAGTTACTTTTTTTGTAACTCTAACTTAACTTCGTTACTTTCTCTTCGTCTGTAACTGTAACTTAACTCGGTTACACTTTTTTAACAACTAGTAACTAATTTAATAGTTACTTTATATATTTTTCAAACCTCCACAGATCGCATTAAGCTTTGCATAAGCGCATGAACGCCTTTATCGACGCTTAATAATTTAAATGCAGATTTGATAGTTTTATTCTCATCGCAAGCAAATAACTGCAACGATTCGTTACTCTTTGTGTAACTGTAGCTGTAAACCGTTACTTTTCAGAATTGGTAACTTGTAGCTGTAACTAGTTACATTTTTAGCGAAAAAACTGTAACTGCAGCTAGATACTTTTATAAAGTAGCTTCCCCAACCCTGAGAATGACCTATGGTATGTTCTTGAAATGTTCATAGGAGTGTCTTGTGCTATCCGGGGAACGCATTGTAGATTAGCCTTTATTGTCAGTGGCAATCAACCAAATTCGCTGTAATTCGCTGTAATTCAGGTATTCTTTCGAACGAGTCCTCTAACGAGCTTGCGTTCACTGGCTGGGTTATCGCGGCGGGACGTACGTACACGCTCGCGCTTGTCTCCTCTCGTTACCGGATTATCATTGAAAAAGAGCGAGAGAAAGAGGGAGAGAGGGAGAAAGGAGCGGTATGTTGACATCGAGACGCCTTCGCGCGCAGCTCCGTGTTTTGACGGCGAGATCGGAGTTATATCAGAGCAGGGACGCTCCGGAGGGCGCGCTCAGTGGCAATGAAACGTTCGCGCGGCGGCGTCGGCGTCGGCGTCGGCGTCGCGCGACGCGGCGCGCACCCAATTCAATTTCGGCCCCGTGATTTCGCCCTACCCTCCCGGGCCCCGGTGCCCCGCGCCCGCGCCCGCGTCCGCTCCCTCGAGCCGCCCACGTACGTCCGCGAGAGTATCCCGCCGCTGCTGGCGCTTCCCCGATCGCTGGCGATCCCACCCCGCGCCGCCCCCCGACGGCGCGATACAGCGACGGACAGCGACGCCTCCGCACGGCGTCGATCAATAACACCGTCGACGGCGACGCCGACGTCGAGAGCGTCGTCGCGCTTGCGAGGCGCCGCGTCATCCGCGACGAGAGCCGTTACGCTGTGCGTCCTCGACGGTTCAGCGGCGCAGCAGCGAGAGCAGCAGCAGCAGCAGCGACAGCAGCATCGGCGACCCTCTCGCGCGAGCCTCTCGCGTGCGGGTACGCGGCAACGGGCATGCGACTCGGGACACTCCCGACGGGACTTTACGCGAACGAGGGACGCGCGTCCGGGAACGGAGGATAGTCGAGTGTCGAATCGCCGAGGTCCCACCCACGACATGGCCAAGGTAAGCCTTCCTCCGGGTAACGAAAGGGTGTGAGGAGGAGAAAAAGTGCGTCGAATAAATGTACATATATATATATCTCTCTCTCTTCTTTCCCCGCGCCGACCGATCGGCAAAATAACGCCGCGTCGATTCGCGCGGTAAACGGAGAAACGTTTGGTGCTTTTCGTTCAGCGGCGCAAGTGAACACGAGCGTCTGAAAACAGACCTTCAACATCCAGTGAACAACAAGGATAAAATGGAACTCGTGTCAACTTGTGTCGGTAAATGGAAAGCACTGGTTGTCCCTCTCTCTCTCACTCGCGTCGAGAGGTTCGCCCGGTGTAGGCCCGGCTCCGGCCTGGCAGCAGAGAACGTCGAGCGGAAGTGGTTGTAAACCCGGCGACGAGACGCCGCGGCTCGAATTAACACGGGCAGGCGGAGGCAGGAAGAGAATCCGAGGAATCCGGGTACCTCGACGAGCGAATACGCCGAGGACAATATTTATTTCGCGCCGCCCGCTGTATGTGTATCTTCCGCTGTGTCACCTTTGATTTCGCGATTTTCGTTTACCTACATTTCGGCCGCGAGGGGGGAAAGAGAAGGTGGTCGGTTTAGTTCAACCGCGACCAGCCCGCGCGACGACGCACATACCGCGTCGTCCGGTGTCGCCGATTCCGCGCGCGCTCGCTCGCGTTGATCGCGCAAGGCTGGCGTTACACTTGTCGTGCGACAAATTTTTCAAGCGCGCCGATTGACTGCAGGGTAGAAAAGTTGCCGAGTATCCAGAAGTTTTCTGCACGCAGCCAATCAACGCGACATTTGTCGCACGACAAATGTAATAGCGCCCTAAAGCTGACGGCAGAGAACGATCCGTGAACGCGTGAAACTGCCTCGGTCGTAGACGTAAGGCGAGGCAGAGGAAAACGTAAGTCGTATACAATAACCTTTCACGATGTTTTTCTCCGCCTTGCCTCACGTCCACGACTAAAGGGCCTGAGCAGAATGGCCGTCTTGTATTCTTGAGTCACAAGACAGTTATTGTGCGTTTCTTTAAGGCAAAGATTTAAAACATAAAACATTGTCTTAAGAGTACAAGACAGCCATTCTGCTCAGGCCCTAAGACGGTCTTAAGCGTTTACGGATCGTTCTCTGCCATCGGCCTAATCCGAGATCTCCGGCGCCTCGGCGGCGAGAAGGTGAAGTGGACGATACCGTCGGGAAATAACAACCGCGGGTGCCGCGGGGGTAGCTCGCGTGCTAACGTAGGCCGCGTAGCGAGGTACGATGCTACTTTTACATAATTTAGAGCGCGCCCCACGGCGCAGACGCGGATAGATAATCTGGACGTTGGCGAATTTCCCAGTGCTCCATTTACCGCGCGCGAGAATACGCGCGCTAACAATTCGCCAGCGTGTACGCGGGCGCCAAGTATAAACGAGCCAATGTCCGGGACCCTCGGGGACGCGAAATCGTGTTTCTATCATTATTATTATTACTCTTTTCGATCAAGCCGGAGGTCGGCTTTGAGAAAAATCTCGTCCCGGCGACCGGATCAATTTCACAGTTAACGTCAATTTCCCACGCAACGCGTGGGAAGGTCGTAAAGGGGATTCTCGAGACTTTCTCTAAGCCGAGTAAATAGTACAGCGTACTTCGTAGTACAATATCGCCGTATACTACAGGCACACGCGTCTCTCGCGAGTCGTCCGGTCTGCGCCTCCGAGCGAAAGGGCACCGGGGGACAAAAGACGCTGCCAGAGACGAGTGCTCCGAGAGTCAGAGCCTGTCCCTGAAAAACCGAGTTGGGGCCCGAGCAGCAAGATCGTCGTAACCGTTTACGATTCTGTCGTACGACTTAAGTCGGTGTCGCAAGTCAACGCACAATGAATTGTCGTATATGTCGCCTCGCGATGCAATTGATGCGACATACGTCTACGACAATTCTGTGTGCGTTGACTTTCGACGCCGACTTAAGTCTCACGGCGAAATCGCAAACGGTTACGACAATCTTTCTGCTCAAGCCCTTACGCTGGATCTACAATAGACCCAGCGAGTCGCAAGCTGCAAGAAATCGGCCAATGACAGTCGATTATTCTTGTCATATTTGGCTGTGATTGGGCGATTTCTTGCGGCTTACGACTGGCTGCGTCTATTGTAGATTCAGCTTTACGGGGTCTACAATGCGAGTCTCGCAGAGTCGTAGTCGTAAGAATATAATGGACTGCGATTGGTCAATTCAGTCAGACACATGACAATTAACCAATCATAGTCAACTATTCTTACGTCTACGACTTTACGACTTCTATGTAGACGTGGCTTAACATTTGTCGTACGACAAATTTACAACTAAGTATCGTAAAATTCTCGAGTATCCAGAAATTTTCTATTCAGCAGCCAATCAACAGGCTTGAGAAGTTTGTCGTACGACAAATGTAATACTAGCCTAGTCCGCGGCCGCGACGGTATCGAGCGATCGAGCCGGCCCGCTTCGCATAATGATAATAATCGGACGTCGCTCGCGCACCCACGCACATATACGCGCGTGCACGCGCGCACTCGACCGGCGAGCGACGCGCGGATTCACGGCTTGGTGAATGCGAATGCCGGGGGCCCGGGTTCCGACAGGATAGAGTAATCGCCGTCGTCACCGTCGCTCGCTCGCTCGCTACGCGCCTGGCAGCCGCGGCGGCGGCGGCGGTGGTGGCACGCGGCAGGTGTAGCCGGGGATCGCGAAGCGAATCCGGAACGTTTTATTGTCGTGCACGCCGCGTCGGGGCCGCGATCCGCGCGGGGCCCGCTGTCGTTCAGTCGCTATCGATCCTCGGACGCAACGTGACGCGACGCGACGTCTCTCTCGCGAGCTCCACACGCGCGACCATTTGTTTTGCTCTCTCTCTCTCTCTCTTCCTCGTATTTTTTTCCCCTCCCTCTCGCCCGCTCTCTTCCTGCTCCCGCCCGCAACCTCCTCCTCCGCCGTGGCCGCGGAAAAACTACGATCTACGGCGCCGCGTGCCCGTGGGAGAGGAGAGATCCGCGACCCGGTCAGTGCCGCGCGGGAGATGCCAACGACACGGGGTACGTCTTCCTCTTCTCTGTCCTTCGCGCGGATAACTTGTTGCGAGTTTTTCGTCAATGAGTGAGACGGTGAGACGCGCGGGGACGTGCGAGCGGCCGCCTCCTCCGCGCGCATATGGCGATCTCGTGAGCGGAGAGACGGGGCGCGTCAATGGGTTCCATTGAAATTAATTACGATCCCGCGCGGCGTGCGCCTCGTAAACGCGGCGTCGCTCGTACGCGACACGCCCGCGAAGAGATTCCGCGCGGACGGCAGTCTGTCTCGAGCTCGACCAGCGCGGCGTGACTCGCGATAGCGCGGCTTCTTATCTACGTATCCGTGCGTTCTCCGACTGTCATTTCCGCGCGCGGAGTACGCCAAGTGCGCACAGGTGCGGGATCCTCCCATCGGGACAATGGTGAATCCGTAATGCTCGGCGCATTGTTGACACTGACACCGATAATGGCACGACGGCTCCGACGGCTTACGCTTACGTAACGCCCGATAAGTGAAGTTGCCAACTAACGCGCGGAGACGCGCGACCCCCGCCGATCCTGGACGCGGCTCGTCCGCGAGTTTGCCGCCCGCGCGGCAGCAGGTGGGCGAATTTAAAAACCGAGGCGAGACGCTCCTGCCCCCGTTCTCGCCAGTCATTTAACTTTGATCTTAGTTTAAATCCCCCCTCGTCTCCTTCTAATGCCCCGTTTCCACCAACGCGGTTTAATCGCGGCTCAGCTTACTTCGTATCTTTTTCTTCAGTTTTACGAATTAGATAAAGGTAAGAAGTCACTTAAACCGAGATTAAAGTTAATCTGCGTCGGTAGAATCGGGCATAAGATGGGCGCACGCAGAAAAAAAGGTTATTTGAAATCGAATTTTCTTTGAGTTTTGGCCTTGCTAGACTTTTATTTAATTTCGAAGAAACGATTTCTCTATCTTGACGAAAATTTTATTTGATTAAGATTTATATCTACTTCTTCAAATCTAGCACATGTTTTAGTAGAAGCGAATGAAATTTTGTACGTTTTAACGTATCTCATTTGTTAAACCTAAATAATTCTCTTTTCTGGGTGCAGTTAGAAAGAGACAAAGGCTGCGTTCCGATATTTACTGCCAGCACTGAAAATGTATAGTATACGTGACGTAAACTATAGATTTTCAGTACTGGCAGTGAATATCGGAACGCAGCCAAAGGATGAAGCAAACTGATATGAAGATGAAGCATTTGGTGAAAACCGGGGTTAGGATAGTATTACATTTGTCGTGCGACAAATTTTTTAAGTGTAGTTGATTGGCTACAAGCTAGAAAATTTTTAGATACTCAACAACCTTTCTGTCCTACAGCCAATCAACATGCTTGAAAATTTTGTTGTACGACAAGTGTAACATTGGCCTTAACCTTATATTACATTTGTCGCGCGACCAATTTTTTAAGCGTGGTTCATTGGCTGCAAGCTAGAAAATTTTTAGATACTAAACTTTTCTATTCTACAGCCAATCAATATGCTTGAAAAATTTGTCGTACAAGTATAACATTAGCCTTAGCCTTATATTATATTATTATATTTGTCGCGCGACCAATTTTTCAAGCCTGTCGATTGGCTGCAGAATAAATAATCTCTAGAGACTCGAGAACTTTTCTATTCTGCGGCCAATCAACACGCTTGAAAAATTTGTCGTACGACAATGTAATATCAGCCTTATTCCGCTTCGGTCTTGAATCTTGTGGCGCGGGACGACGCTGTCGGCTCTCGGCGAGTCGCTTGCTGAACGCGTGCCACGGACGCGGGAATGTTATTCCATCGGAATTGTAATCAATTGCCGCGCGTCGCGCCGGCAGCTACGTCTCGCCCAGTAGGTATATTACGAGTCACGCTGTATGCCGCGCGCGCATTATCTTAATTGCGTGACATACAAGTCGATAATTGCGGCACACGGGAATTCCGTAATAAAACACTCGGACTTTCCACCTGAATAGAAACGCACCGTCCGCGATTTCGCTCCTCCCCCCTTGAGGCGCGAAAGGAGAGAGAGAGAGAAAGAGAGAGAAAAGATATTTTACATCCCCGCTTCGTGAAAATCACGCGAATCGCCTCGTAATTCGTCACCGAGAGAGCGCTTGAGCAGAAAGATTGTCGTAACCGTTCACGATTCCGTCGTAAGACGTAAGTCGGTGTCGGAGGTCAACGCACAAAGAATTGCCGTATGTCGCCTCGCGATATGAGAGATGCAACATACGTCTACGACACTTCTTTGTGTGTTGACTTTCGACAACGACTTACGACGGAATCGTAAACGATTACGACAATCTTACTGACCATACGCGGGCGCTACGTCGCGTCCGCACATCACGGCGTTAAAGGTGGGCGGGTTTCTTTCTCGTCTCTCGAAAAGCGTAACAAACCATGACCGCTGTACACGCGTCGGCACAAATTGACGCGAGTTAAGTCTCCGCTCTCCGCGCGCGCGAGCGACTCGGCCTCTTGGCTCTGCCTAGAACTCGGCTCGCGTCGCCGCGCCATGCAAATCTCATTCGCGATTTCTTAATTCGCGGCGCACGTTCTCCCTTTCCTCACTCGCGGCGACGACGACGAGCGCGCGAGAGACGGCGAGAGTCGCGTCGACTCCGCCGCTTAAACGTTTTTTCTTTCTCCTTCCGCCTTGGCATTTCGTCGCGGCGACACAACGCGCGTCATCCTAGGCGTACGCGGGCGCGGGTGCGCCCGCGCGAGGCAGTCGAGAACACGGGGAATTTTCGACGGCGACGGAATAAAATCCGAGGATGTGAAAGGCGGCGGGCCGGCATGACCGTGATGATTGCTGACCCATTACGTTACCGCTGCGCGCGGCTTCTGTTGATTCTAACGAAACGCACGGCGGCGCGTACACAGGCGACGTGGAGAGGAAGAGAGAAAGAATCGTTGTTTGTTGAACGCTCTGGGACGAGTCCCCCTAAAGCCCGTATCAGACTACGGATTGAGATTGAGATTAGATTGAAATTTGAGTAAAATGTTACTAAACTTTACTGTGATCGGTCAAATTTCAATCTAATCCCAATCTCAATCCGTAGTCTGATTCGGCCTCAATGCCCGTTTCTACCAACGCAGTTTAATCTTGGTTCAACTTACTTTGTGTCTTTGTTCTAGGTTTACGAATTCGAAAAAGATAAGAAGTAATTTAAACCGAGATTAAAGTTAATCTGCATTGGTAGATACGGGCATAAAGCGTTGCAATGAGGCTTAACTAATGCGCGTAGAATGATAAGAGTAATGTACCTGCACGGTAAGAAAAATGTAGCTGTCGTAACTAAAAACTGCATGTGACAACTAAATTTCAGTTGTAAAATACGGACAGCTAAATATTTTGCTACTGTGCCTGTTATATTAGGTGCGACGGCAAGCCGTTTGCTGTGCTTTAGAAATTTATAGTTGTGGCAGCAAAGTATTTTTGGCCTAGTATATAAAAGAGAAGAAATAGAGAGAGAGAGAGAGAGAGAGAGAGAATCAGAATCATTATTTACTACATGCTCTGGGACAAGTTCCCTAAAGCGTAGAAACAGTTATTACGAAAATAATAAACTGAGTGAACAGTGCATATGAGTAGTAGTGGTGATAAGAATATAAAAAGAAATAAGAGAAATACAAAAAGAAGTAACGATAGATGAGAGAGAAAGAACAGAATAGAAACTTTATTTATTAAAGCTCTGGGACAAGTCTCCTAAAGCGTTAGACAAGCTACACATAAAAAATACGGGTGAAAAAGAACCTTTGTACAACAATTTGAATAGTAAAAAGTATAATAAAAGTCCCCTAACACGTTCTGACAATATAACGGACAGTGATGATTTATCATTAGTGGTATACAAGAATAGAAAAGAGTAGTGCAGAAACAGTATGACGAAAAATAACAAAATTAAAATGGTCAAGATAATTTCTAGATAATTCAGAGAGAAAGAGAGAGAGACAGAGAGAGAGAGAGAATCAGAATCACTATTCATTACACGCTCTGGGACAAGTCCCCTGAAGCGTTCAAATATACAAAAAGAGAGAGAGATTAAACAGTGAGTGAAAAGACATGAAAACATCTAAGATGAAAGACAAAGAAAAGAGGAAAATAAAATAGTAAAAAAGGGTATTTACAAGATTCTACAGAAGCACAATAAGAATTAAAAAAGATAAAGGGGAGGGAATGTCACGCTGGCACGTACTTTCGGGCCCGTGGTGGATATCTTTCGAAAAACAATATATTTCCGCCGCCGCGCACTTGTGTTGTTTACACTTTTGCGCGAGGCCTCCAGATAAATTGGCCCGATTAGCTTCAGATAAATTGGACAGATTGTATCCCCGACGTCGCGATGAGCGGAGCCGTTACCGCTGTCGTTTATCCGCGCGTTGTCTCTCTATCTTTTTACGAGTACCGGCGGCGACGATCGGTTCCGAAAATTCTAACGCGCGTCGGTTCGGCAATAGGAAAAGAGGATTGCGCCGGTAATTTACGGTCGGGAGCCCGACCCGCGTGTAGCGGTTCGCAGCAACCTAGTTCTCAGCCCCGTACACACGCACACACGCACACACGCTCGGCGCTCGAACGTCAGTGAGCTCACGCACGCACCGGCACACGTCGGCTCGCTCGTGCCTGTCCCGTTTCTCGGATCGGGGAGAGCAACATCGGCGATATCTGCTATTATTCGTAGACACGCCACTAGCACAGTTCTGCCTCCGATATTCCGACGCGACGGTACGACTCGTGGATCATCGGGCGACGAAGGAAAAGCAGCTCCGGGACAAGCTGCGAGCTGTCGGGCGTTTAAGCGGTCGACATTAGTAACCGCCTCGCGCCTTCCCTGGGAAAAGAAAACGAGCACCGTAATTAGTCGTAATTGTCTCGTGCTCGTCGTCGCCCCGGAGTTACGTGTACGTCCGTTACGTGGCGAAAAGAAGGAACCGTGCGAAGCCGCGCGGTTCTTCGCGCTCGAGAGAAGAGCGAACGAGCGAGAGAGAGAAAGAGAGAGAAAGAGAGAGAGAGAGAGAGACGCCGTCGCGAACTAAAATTAAATTAACCAACAGAAGCATTTCTGATTCACCTCCCGAGGGGTGGAGCCATTATTTGGAGGTAGGCCAAGGGCAACGGACTCCACCTCGCGCTCGTCAAATCAGACCCGACCTTGAAAGAAAGAAAAAAAAATATATACATACATGTACAGAACCTACCACTCGCGGTAATTAAGCGGCAAATCGTAACTGTGGCGAAACTCTTCTTCTTCCTCTTTTTTTTTTTCATCATTTCTACCAGGATGACGTTCGCGTGACTCGAGAAATCGCGCGCTCATACGTCGTTCTCTTGTTCGCAGAACGTAGGGGAGAGTCGCATACCTGTTCCACGTGCGGCACGGCCGTCGTTCTTCCCGAAATCGAGAGTGCTCGAGGCGTCGAGGCTCCTGACGGGAAGTCGCCGATCAACGATCTTCTCGGGATGCTTTCAGTTTAACAGCGAGGACGAGTCCCCCACTCCGCGGGAGTTCTCCGGATTCACGACGTCCTCGCCTAACATCAAAAGTAACATTCGCCTTTATAATATTTGTACATTTGTAATTAATTAAATGCATGAGCGCGCGCCGACGCGCGTGTGCGCTAACGTGTGCGAAACCGTTCCGTGTTACAGCCGAGTCGGTGGCGGACCAGACGTTCTCGATATCACCCGCGTGGGACATCGACAAGACCGATGTGCAGCAGCTGGTTCACCTCAGCGAGGAGAAGAACAGCCTATTCAGGTACAGATCGCGCACGTGCGTCAAGTATGATCGCGGTTTTATTCACGATACTCATAAGGGGTCGTTCCACTTTAACGGCCCAAAAGCTATGCTCACCTTTAACAATTTTGTTCTCAGTAAATACACCACACAACGAAATAAATCTTTTTGGGATGTGTTAGGGCACTCTTAAATAACACCAAAAATTTTTTGTCATAATTTAAAGGCTACTCGAAGATTCTCAGCTGAGCATGATCGAGGATGTCGGCGACACCTGTCTCGTAGATTCGGGCCTGGGCAATTACAACGATGCGGGCGCAGCGCCGCATTATTTGATGCTGAACAAGCAGAACTCGTTCGAGCACGACGAGAGTCTCGGTATACTGACACCGGACCAGATGACCGATTTCACGGTGGCGCTGGAATGCTCGAGGACGCCATCCTGCGAGAATCTCACCGGCTCGGCCGGCTCGAAATTGGCACTGACCCGGGCGTCCGCTTCGACGAGGCCGCTAGTGGACGTGGAACCCGCGGAGGAAGGCTGCACCGAGAGAACCCCCTCGCCGGAGGAGCTGCCGCTCGATCCTAAACCCGTGGAGCCGATCAGAGGTAACGCCGTGCCGGTGAGCTTCGTCACGTCGGTCACGAGCATCACCAGCCTCGAAGCGGGCTACCAAGGAGACGGCGAGAACTCGAGGCCGGCCAGCCGCGGCGCGGACCCGCCGTCTATGGCGGTGCCGCCGGTCAATCTTCCCGCGCCATGCCGCCAGGACCCGATGACCGACTCGGACTTCTTCACCGAGAGTGACGCGGACGCGCACGAGGAGATCGTGCGGGGCGACAGGAAGGCGCAGGTGATCGACGGCACGCTGTTCTGCGCGCCGGGTGAGCGCGTGTGCCCCAGCTTCACCGGAGAGGAGATGGACTCGAGCGGGATCTACTCGGACCTGGACAAGCTGCAGGCGCCCGGCGAGCAGGCGCCGGAAGAAAACGACGACCATACTCCCGACACCGGGGATACCGAGCTGTCCCAGAGGAGTCAGCCCTCGCCTATCGCGGCGAACGTTATCATGGAATACTTGCAGGTAAGTTAACGCGCGGGCCAAGAGCTTGGTTCTCGGAAGGATCCTTGCAAGTGGCGTTTGAATAACAATCGACGATATTCTGGTTGGATTTAAACTCGGAGTCTTTCGGATTGTTCGTTTACCGAGCAGCGCACATTTCTTTGCGCCACGCTCGCCACTACGGTTTCATCAATTGTATGTAAAACATATATGTTTGTCGCTAGAGTCCCGCAAAGGCGTCGGACGAAACGAGCAGCATGAACGACACAACGGCCTCCGTCGAAGTGACGGCGATCGAGAAAATTGAGAAGAACGAAAATATCAGGCCCAAACCGCAGAACAAGGCTGACACGGTGCCTTTGAAAAAGTATAAAATGCCCAAGAGGAACGTCGTCTCGAAGATCAAGGCGATGATCGAGTCGTCTGCGAAAGACGACGCGGAAAAGGAGGCGAGACGCTCTCAGAGGTCGACCAGAAAGGGCGGACGCTGGGACGCGGTGATGAATAAGATAGAGGCTGGGAAAAACGAGCAGAGAATGCGACCAGCGCGGAAGGACGTCAAGTCCAGGGTATTGCAAAATCTTACTCTGTCACCTTCCGCGAGGCCAACGTCGAAGAAGGCCGGCGACGCGAACAATAACAACAATAAGGATAAACGGTGAGCCTGAGTAAAGACTAAAGCTCGGTATAATAAATAACGTAGACGTTATTTTCATCAAGACGCGAAATGTTTTGATATACTATCAACTTTAGCGATTAGTCCCAAACGATCGTCGAGCGACAACAGAATCGCACGGATTCCCGCACCACGAATTACGACGGAAATATTGTCAAATTTTAGGAGGATGCGTGGCTGGCAAGAGATGAAATCACCGACGCAGGAAACGGCCAGGAGTTCCGTTCGCAGTTCCATGAGCGACCTGAGCAGTGGCCCGAGTAAGGACATGCCAAGTGAGTAGAGCATCGATATTTAAAGAATTTGGGGAAAAAAAGAATACGTTAGGTCACGTGGACGAAGACTCGATTAAAATTACTATTGAATTTTTCAACATAAATTAATACGCAAGGTCTTCTTGTACGTGACTTAAGGCCAATGTCCACGATGCTAGAACTTGGTCCAAGTTCTAGCATCGTAAACATTGGGCTTTATCGTAATGCTTTAGGCCCGGTCTACAATGAGTCGTTAGTCGTTAGTCAGAAGTCGCAACTATATGTTGATCCTTTTCCTTTCTGGGTGGAAGAAAAAGGACCGACATATAGTTCCGACTTCTGACTAACAAAACTCATTGTAGACCGGGCCTTAGGAATATTTTGCCGGCTATTGGATAAGGGAATGCTGGAGTGATTCTGCACTTTTGGCACCTTTTGCCCCTAGAACTGTCAATTCGCGAAAACACTTGTGTAATATACAAATTATGTGGCTTTTGTATACGAACCGAGTGTTCCATTCGCACTAACAATAAGTCAGAGAGCAGCATGGTATCATTGAAATTATGTTTAGAAGCCTAACAAAAAATTCACTCGAATAAGTTATAGGTTAGGTAACCGCGCTTCTTCAAGTGAATAGACTTCTTGTTAAGCGCCTAAACTTAATTTCAACGATACCACGCTGTTCTTTCACTCAATCTGAATACTGGGACACTGTCGGTCTGTACACAAAAGCCGCATAATTTGTATACTACGCAAGTGTTTTCGCGAAGTGGCAGTTCTAGGAGCGAAAGGTGCCAAGGGTACAGAATCACTCCAGCCTCCCCTTAAAAGCGACCCTGAGAGCAAAGCGAATAAAAAGTGCGAAATTGAAACCGGGCCGACCTAGTATCTCGCATTGGACTTGTCGCAAACGATGAATGAAGCGACGCGATTCCACGGGACGACGTGAATTAATTCGGAAAGCGGGAAACCCCCGAGGGGTGAGGAGCGACGTTCCGTCTCGGTGAGAAAGACTCGCGCGAGCGGGAGAGACCTCCGGATTCTCCGCGTGCCGCTTACCTACGGGAGGGAAAGGCGAGGTCTCCTTATCGACCCGAGAGCAAGAGCTCGTCGAGGATGCCGCGGGACTTTATTGCCCCTTTTGCCGGCGCCAATGGGTAGCACGAGGCGTCGCTTTGCTTCCATTGTGGAGTAAGAGGAAGCCGCGTCGAGCCGGCGCGCATCGCACAGCCTCGCCGCAGCCGCATCCAACATCCACCGTCCGGTCGGCAGTCCTCGGCGGGTCTCGTGCCAGGTCGTACGGTGCGCCGTGCACGTGTGTACGCGCATGTGTATCTTGGGTGCATCGGTGCCGTCTCTATTGTCGTCTCTCTCTCGCGAGACGCGCACCTACCGTCCCTCGCTCTCTCTCTCTCTCGCGCGCGCGCGCGCGCGAAATCGGGTCACCGGATAGTGCGTGACGGTGCGTGAGGAACCCATACGCGGGGGAGAGTAAAAGAGAGCGAGCGAGGGAGCGAGCGAGAAGGCACGCAGCCGCTGACAGCCCCGATGTCTCGTTAGGGAACGAGTCAGCGGAGTGCGCTCGGTATATCCAGGCGGTGGCCCGGACCGACCTGACTCTCGGTTTCTCTCAGTTTCGAACCTCGGGGTGGCGAACCTTCGATCGCGGACTTCGCTGTCGGTTCCCTCAACGACGCGGTTGTGCGCGAGGACAAGAACGTTTTCCCGTAGCCTCGCCTCTTCCCTGACCTATTTCCCAGGTCTCTCGCCTTCCTCTCCGCTCGCGCGCGCGCGCGCGAGCCAGCGCGCGAGCACGTGCGTGCGAATCGTGTCGCTTTGTGAAAGCCTGCGATTTCCCCAGGATCGTTCGTTTCCTAAATCCCCAAACGTACCCCGCGATCCACCGGTCCGCGCGCAGACGGATCGATCCGCGACTCACCTTCCCCAACCGGGATTCGCGCGTGTCCCCGTTACACGGGGTCCGGGTGCAAGCCGATCGGTCCCGCCGCGTACGGTGACGCGAGGTGAGACCCGCACGCGGCGCGTCGCACCTGCGCGCGCGACCCGGGCCCGCGATCGTCCGCCTTAACGGCATCCGCGTCGAGACAGCCGCACGGGTCAACGCCACTCGCGCGGCGTTATTTCCGGCCGCGCGGGCCCGCTCGCCGTGCTCTCTTTGCGAGCCTCCCCGCGACGGCAGACCGGACCCGACTACGATGCGTCCGCGTCGCGCACCTCCGTCGCACGGCGAGGATGCCCGCCACCCTCGCTCGCACGCCACCCTTCCACCCCCACCTCCGTCAGCGGCAGCAGGTGCACCCGGCCGTGCGACGACCACGTGCGTCGCCAAGGTCGACGACTGTCGGTACGCGACCACCGGTCCCTCGGTCCGCCCCGCGCGGCCTTACGCAATCGCCCCCGGAATCGGCGGGCGCTGAGGGGCCCACGCCGTGCGCGTTTCGCGGCCCTTAACGAACAACCCAGTCGCGCTGGAATCTCGCCGGGGTATGCCGAGTGGTAGGTCGACGCGCGCGTAGGTCGACGCGCGTGACATAACGCGCTGCCCGGCGATCGGTATCGGGCGGTCCGGAGCGCGGGATAACGCGCGTCGTGGGATACGGCGGTGTGTGCGCGATCCAGCTGCAACATAATCGCTGCGGCGGCGGCGGCGGCGGCGGCGGTTCTCTCGCGTGCCGGAGGAGAACGGCATCGCGATCGATCGGCATTGGCGCCGGCGGCGGCAGCGGCGGCGGCGATAGCGACCGGCTTCGAGAGACGGAAGATGCCCGTTGTATACCGTTGCACATGCTGATGAGCGACGGCGGCGGCGGTTGTACCCGGCGTATACACACGTATATACACGGCGCGATTCTCACGCTCGACTCGACGCGGCGGGATAAAGGTGGCACGCGCGCGGGGCCCAGTCGCGCCGCCGTCGACGCGGCCCACGGACGACTTGATCGCGGATCGCGATGGGTAGACGGTGAACGGTCGGCAGCCGACGATGGGCCAGCAGGGATCGAAGGACAGGACCGCGCCGAGGAGGACGGACTTCGCCCGGGACTCGGCGAGGATGCGTCTCGGCAGCTTCAAACGAGGTAGAAATGGGGTTGGCGGGGCGGGGGGGAGGGGGGTTGGTTGCGTTTGGATCCGGCGATCGCCGGCCGCGTAACGGTGATCCTTCCGGTTTTGCGCGCGGCGCGATCAAACCGCGGGCCCTCCTCTTCTTCGGTTTCCGTTTCCGCGACCGACGCTTATTGGTCTACGCGCGATGTCCACGCGGCCCTTTCGACGGTTCGTTCACGTCGCGAGATATATACACGTTGCTCGTCGTTTACTTTTCAGAGAGATCACCGACGTCCGCGACACCGCCACGGAGGTTCGTCTCGAACGGCCACGCCAGTCATGTCCGCGTCAACAGTTTCGACGCGAAGAAGAACTGCGTCGACGAGCTCGGTAAATATATGCATTCCCCGTCCTGTCATTCGAGATTATTAGGTAACTGCGCCGTGCGTGGGCAAGCGTGTGTGCACGCTTCGGTATGATAATCAGGGGGGGAGGGGAGGAGAACGCGGCGAGGAACGGGAGCACCGTGGCGTATTTCCGGCTGGGGCACCGCTGCCGTGACGGAGAGCGACGATGAAAGGCACGAGAGACAGAGACGGAGAGGGAGAGAACGTCTCTCCGGGACTCGGCCGACTACGTTTACCGGTTCGCGATTCACGAAACGACGCGTTAGAGCCGGATAAGTAGCACGTGTTGGAACATTTTCTCTCCTAGGGTCCTCTTTTTTTCTTTCTTTCTTTCTCCTGTTCGGTCGATAGGAAGAGGCGCCTGCAATCGTGCATCGTTACGGCTACGTTGACGGAGCCCAATCGTGGCTTTTCACCTTGCTACTTTCCCCCCGAAGGCACGGCGCGAAGACCGGGAGAAATCCTCCGAAAGGTCTGCCGCTTGACGAGAGCCCGCGATGAATATTCACGTCGGCTCGACGTTTCAGGGCCGGCTTTTCGCGGAGATTCAGAGTCCGATCGAACGACCGCCCGACCAAACGTTAATTAACGACCAGCTTGCCAACGCCAATAACACCTGCATCGTTTTCCTTACGCGACCGGAATTATTTAACTTCTGCTGTTCAACACGTGAGCAGATCGGAAACTGATCAGAATTATACAGTTAAGAAATTTTCTAGCGAGCAACGTATCAAATAACGCCTGCGCAATTTTCACGTGGCCGGAATTATTAAACTCTAGCTGTTCAACGCGCGAACAGATCAGGAACAACAAATCGTACGGTTAGAAATTTCGCGGCAAGCAACTTGTCAAGCAACGCCTGTACTATGTTTTTTATTTGCGCGACTGGAATTATTAGATTCTTGTTGTTCAACGCGTGAAAAGATCGGGAACAACAAACACAGTTAGAAATGTTGCAGCGAGCAACTTGTCAAGCGACGCCTGTACTAGTTTTTTTATTTACGCGACTGTAATTATTAAATTCTTGTTGTTTAACGCGTGAAAAGATCAGGAGCAAGTTGGAAATTTTGCAGCGAGTTACTTGTATCAAGTGAATCTGTACTATTTTGCTCACGTGGTTAGAATTAGTCTTGTCGTTCAGCAACACTTGTTCGCCACGTGAAAAATATCAGGAGCAACGAATCGATCTAGAAATTGTGCAGCGAGCAACTTACGTCAAGTAAACCTGTACCATTTTGTTTACGTGGCCGGAAATATCAAATGACGGAGGAAACCTTATAAGTCGCCAGAAGTAATTAAAAAACTTCAGAAGAATGCTTGACCATGTCTGGCAAATTTTTTTCGTTCAAACTCACGACGTTTCGATCATTGTTTGCGGTCCTTCTCGAGTGATCTAACAAAGAAATCTCGGAAATGTTAAATTCTTATTATTTAACGTGTGAAAAGGAGTCGGGTGGGAGACGACGGGTTTGCCAGTTGGAAAATTTGCAGCAGACGATTCCGCCGAGTGAATCGTCAATTAATCAGAACCGCCCTTTAATAACTTGACCGTTTACGCTGCGTTAATAATAACAACGGTCCAATCCGGTTAGCAAACAGTCGGCCTCGCGCGTCAAGTCGTAATACACGTCGTCAAACGTGCGGGCAAAATACAATAATAATACTACGCGCGGCAGGACCTCGGTTGGAGCGAAGCGCTCGTACTCTATACTTGAACTTCAATCTCGCGCGGGCGATAAAACGGTTCTCGGCCGTACGGTACCGGGGTACCAGCTCGCCGGTACGCCGGGCTCGAGTAAGTACTGCCCGTTTAGTGTTTAACATGCTCTCGTTAACGCAACGCATTCTCCTTGCAGAGAAGAGCCCGCCGTCGGCGCGAAAGCCGGCGATAACGAGGAGATTAGCGGCCAACGCCAACGTGAAGCAGAAATCCTCCGTGGCGTCGATAAAAGGTACGTTTCGGCTGCGTTTCCACGCGCGACGGTGCCCTCGCGGATGACGCGCGGCAGACGGCTCTTCTTTCTTCCGAGTTTCGCCGGGACACGACGGGACGCGCGGGAGAGGCTCTTGATGAGACGCCTGATCTACAACGTGCTCTAGAAACGTTCTGTTTTGTAGCCGATAAATATACGCTTGAGAAAATGTGTGCGTTCGTTGATAAATTGCGCACTAGGCTACTCACCGATGCCTCTTCCCATATGAATTTAGATACGTACACTAAGGCCTGGCTTTACCAAACGTCGCTTAACTTTAATCTTGGTTTAATTCACGTGTGTCTCTTTCCAAATTAACAGTTGGAAAGAGACAAAGAACGAATTAAGCTAAGCTTAAAGTTAAGCAACGTTGGTGAAACCGGGCCTAAGGGCCAGTTTCACGAACGTCGGTAAACTGTTAACCAGAGTTCAGTCGACTCCCTATCTTTTTCCATCTTGTTATCTGAGAAGAGACAGAGCTTCAATTAACCTGAGGTTAACAGTTAACCGACGTTCGTGAAACTCGCCTTAGGAATCGCCGATGCCTTCACATATGAATTTAGGCACATGTAGAACACGTATGCATTTTTCATGTACACGGAAAAAAAGTTGTATCAACAAGATCGGTGTATACATAATTGAAATAAAATCGTTGAAACAAGATCAGTATTAATAAATGAAAAACATCGGATTGTTGTCTTAATAATCTGGATATTTAGTTCAATGCTTAATATTAAAATCCATAGCAGATACAATTGAGTGAATTATTTATGTTTGTGGCAGCCCGTGACGTTAATGTTTAATTCAAGCCACTTCATTTTGCTCAATTCAACAGCATTTTTTCCCCGTGTATGTATATGCAGAATGTATGAATGTGTTGGTATGCGCACAATTCATGTGGAAAGGCATCAGTGATTCCTAGTGTACATGTAGGACACACAGAGGAAAGTCCCCTATTATGAGACAGCTGCGTTTCTACTAAATTAATAGGCATCGTCTGTTGGTTCCACCATGAATTTACCGCCCTTGGAGCGAGATCTGTTTGGCGGAAAATACATTGCTAGAACGTGTAAGCGCCGCGAAAAAAAAGATTGCGATTAAATTTGGACGTTGAAAGCCTGCTATCTCATATAAGAAGCCCATCTCGCGGTAGGGAACTTTCCTCTATACATTTTCCATGTATGGGTATGCAAAATGTATAGGTTGATATTTGCATGAATTCATATGGGAAGGCGTCAGTGATGCCTGGTGTGTACAAACAGGCAGGAATGCCTGGACATTTTTAGAATTGTAGAAGTGTCCCGGCATTCCCGTCAGCTTGTTCACATCATTACATTGCACAATTATATTGCATTCTATAATTTTAGAAGTGTCCAGGCATTCCTGCCTGTCTGTTTACATCATACATTGCACAATCGCGCATTACATCGACACGTGTTTTAAGCGTGTTGATCAGCTTATGCGAAACAGAATGTTTCTAATCGCGAGGATCAGATTGTAGATCGGCGGGTCAATTCTGTGTCTCACACTATAGCGAAAATGCCAAAAGCGAACAGCTTTGTCTCTCTCTAATCGTCCTCTTAAGTAAAAGTTACTAAACTTGAGATTAGTAAATTTTACTGTGAGTGGTCAAATTTCAATCTAATCCCAATCTCAGTCCGTAGTTCGATACGGGCTTTAGAAAGAGACGAAGCCGTTCACTTTTAGCATTTTCACTATATTGTAAGATACAGAATGGACCCTCAGGCGTAAAGGCCGAATCAGGCTAGCGATTGTAGGCGCGGATTGGGTTGGGATTGGCGATTGTCTTCTAGCCAATGAGAGTCGATTAAATCGCTGGCTGCTCTCATTGGCTAGAGAACGGTGGTCACTCGCCAGTCGCGATCCAACCCGAGTCGGCAATTGCTGGTCTAATTCGGCCTTAAGACCCGATCGAGTTATCGTGCGGCGCTTTGCAGACTCGTCGTTTCGCAAAAAGGCCAATGATGAGGCGGGAAAACTCGTGTTCGCGCCTTGTGCTTTCCAATCCATTAAGCCGTGCCACTTGAATGGCAGCCGGTTTATAAAAGAGTTCCCACGTTTATTCCGCGACACACGTATATACGCACGACGATACGCCCGGTGCAGTAAAACTGCGTCGCACGCAGTGCCGGACGCGACGAGTCCGTCGCTCGGTGTCCTCGCTCGCTTACTGTAGTCCCTCCGCGTGTTTTGAAGAAAGTCACCGGCTTTCACCCAAAGGTGTCCCGAGCGCTAAGAGCCAACCTGTTTACCCGGAGCTTTCCTTTCGAAACTCCTTTAAAAAAAAGAATCGCTCCGACCTGGTCTACCGGCGGGATTAGAAAGAGGACGCGAGAGGGGAGGGGGAGGGTGAGGGAGAGACACAGAGATCGCTGCCGAGAAGCGGCCTAAATAATAACGCGGAATGGAACGCGAGAGAGCGAGTTTCCGCGCGCTCTCGGCTCCCGCGATCCGCAGAAACGGAAAGGAGCCTGAAGAGACGCGTTGTTTCGCGGGATAATCGATCGCTCTCATTCGCCGCTCGGCACTCTCGTCGCGGTGCCCCCGAGCGCACAAGAGACACGTTATGCGCGACCGTCGACCATCGCGGCCCGCGATGATGCTCGGCGACCGTAAGTAAGCGCGGACACGCGCGCGTCCTCTTCCATCTAAGGGCGGCCAGTTTGAAATTGGAGAGGCCGACGCGCGGCAGTTTAGGCCTCGGGGACCCCGGCCGGAAGTGCAGTACGATCGTCACGGACTTTGGCGACCATCGTGTGGTGCTCGCGACCGAGGGACATCACCGTTGATGATGGCATTGCGGTGTACAGATTTGCGTTACTAGACATTTTTTGGGGGCATTAGGCTAATATTACTATTTGTCGTACGAGACAGTTTTCTTTAAGCGTGTCGATTGGCTGTGAGATAGTAAAATTCTCGAGTACCTAGAAATATTCTATTCAGCAGCCAAGAGACGCGCGTAAAAAATTTGTCGCGCGACAAATGTAATATTAGCCTTTGGCCTACTGTTACATTTGTCGTACGACAAATTTTCTAAGCGCGTCGATTGGCTGCGAGATAGTAAAATTCTCGAGTATCTAGAAATGGTCTGTTCGGCAGCCAATCGAGACACGCCTGAAACATTTGCCGTACGGCAAATGTAATATTAGCCTTAGCCCGGGTCTACAATAGGTGTAGTAAGCCTTAAACCGTAAGAAATTGATCAATCACAAGCGATTATTCCCCTCACTTCAGACTGTGACTGGTCAATTTTTTACACCTATTGTAGACCTTAGGACCTGAGCAGAATGGCTGTCTTATACTCTTAAAACAGCCTTAAGACAATGTTTTATGTTTTAAGTCTTTGTCTTGAGGTAACGCACAATAACTGTCTTGTGTCTGAAGCGTACAAGACAGCCATTCTGCTCAGGCCCTAAGCTTTAAGAAATTGACCAATCACGGTCAACTATGAGTAGAATACGCGACTGTGATTAGTCAATTTCTTAAGGCCTAAATAAGGTTTAAATCTCTATTGTAGACTGGGGACTTAGGTCTTGCTGGGGCATTATAAAGATAAAGTAAAGCCAGCGGCACACGATACTATTTTTTCTACTGGATTGTTTTCCGAGAGCCAATCAGGATTTAGCTTTAAGTCACCTGATCTAAAGCCAACGGCACACGATACGATTTTTCCTACTGGATCGCTCACGAGAGCCAATCAGGGTTTAGCCTTAAGTCACCTGATCGAAAACTTTGCATCCTGACTGGCTCTCGTAAGCAATCCAGTAGGAAAAATAGTATCGTGTGCCGTTGGCTTAAAACTCTGCATCCTTATTGGTTCTCGTAAGCAATCCAGTAGGAAAAATAGTATCGCGTGCCGTTGGCTTAAGATAAAGTAA